AGTAGTAGTAGTCGTAGTAGTAGTAGTAGTAGTAGTAGTAGTAGTCGTCGTAGTAGTAGAAGTAGTAGTAGTCGTAGTAGTAGTAGTAGTCTCTTTTTCTTGCTAGTAGTAGTAGTAACGCGCTAAGCCTAATGTGGGAGTGTTGAGTAATCGAATGTCTTACGAGCACACAGGCTCGTCTGTGAACTATTTATACTCGCATTCCATTTTCTTCCCACATAACCATATCCAGTAAGACGCTTGTTCGACTGCATGTCCTCCCATGTTCTTCATACAACTCGCTCGTCTTTTACCTGCCAAACCCAAACTCTTCAAAAACCTGTACACTGAACAACCAACAACACCTCTTGCACCGACTTCAACTGCAACAACAAACACCTTAACTCGCGTTGTTCTATCTCACTAACAAGCTCTTCATACTTGGCTGTTTTTACAACGTCACTTACAGCCATATAAGCCTCATACGGTACATTCAGTTCGACTGAAATAACAATCTTTCTTAGTTTACACGTTTGTCTCGTCACAAACATTGGAAATGTATGCATTTGTACTTCTAATCCTTTGTTGTGCCTCCACGTATGACAAGGAGTTGTATGAAGAACGTTGGACATACAGACGAACAAGCATCTTGATACTGGGGATACTAACACGCAAAATAAAAGATTTTAATGATTCAACAAATCAAAAAATATAGATATCATTAGTGATAATAATGATGAGGATAATAATAGAAACAATAATAAAAACAAAAAACAACAGAAACAATATCCCAAAAATAATTCTAGAAAAATGATAATACAACCAATCACCATAACACACAAAGCAAAACTTTCAAACGATATTAATAGAAAATAACTTTCACGGAGCTTGCTCACGTAATCCACACACACACACACATACATAGATACACACATACACACATACACACACACACACACACACACAGATAAACACACACATACACAGAGAGCTAATGACTGGGTTATGTTGAAAATTGATGGAATGATTAACTATAATTCCGACGGTCGTAATGATTATGATGACGATGATGATAATGATGATTGTGATGGGGTAATGATGCTGTTGAAGCTACTGCTGCTGCTGCTGCTACTGACGACGATGATGGTATTCCAGATAATGATGACGAAGACGATGATGACGATCAAGGTGTGGACGTATATAATTTACATAAACTTATCGACGTCACGCCAACAAGTTATGATTTATTGCAATAATAATAATAATAATAATAATATTATTATTATTATTATTAATACAAATAATAATAAAAATAATAATAATAACAATAATTATAATAATACAAATAATAATAACAATAATAATTTATTTGAAAAAAATTATAGCAATAGCAATAATAATTTATTTGAAAAAAATTTATTTCCTTTGATTAGAATTGCCATTAAACGCGCTGGCCAAGCTAATATAAACACATGTTCTTCAGTCGAATAATAACAATAATAAAATAATATTAATAATAAAATAATAATGATAATAATAATAATAAAATAATAATAATAATGATGACTACTACTTCTACTACTGCTGCTCTTGCTACTGCTACATTTACTGCTGCTGCTACTACTACTACTACTACTATTTACTACTACTACTACTACTACTAATAATAATAATAAATATAATAATAATAATAATAATAATAATAATAATAATGACAATAACAGAGAACGGGGATTTACATTAATTAAGAACAATGACGTCGGCAGCTGACATTGGTAGAATTTTATTATCTATACCGACATCATCATCATCGCCACCTTCGTCATCATCATCATCATCGTCATCATCGTCTTTGTCATCACCATCACCACCAACAACAACATCGCAACTACTACAACAACATTCCTCCTCATCATCAACACCATCATCTTTGTCATCTTCATCATCAATCCTATTAACAACAACGACAACAACAACCCATCTTTCAACTATACTGACCTCACCAACAACGTCATCATTATCATTACTACTCTCGTCAACGTCATCATCACCATCATCATCACATTTTTTCAACGTCAACAACACGTTTTTACATCAACAATCGCTAAGCAACGAAATGGATAGCGTCACGTGGTACAAAGACTTTCATCCCCATTGGTGGAAGTACCATGACATCATTGTGAACGCACCAATGGCGTTCTACTATTTTTTAGGGACGTTTTTCGCTGTCGTTGGATTTTTAGGCGTCTTTGGTAACATCATTGTCGTTTGGGTTTTTTCCAGGTTGGCGAACAAGAAATCAAAATTTATTTCGTGTTTTTTTTTTTATTTATATAGTGTTTTATTTAGTAATTTTTTCGAATTTTATTTATTACTTATTTTTATTTATTTAATTTTATTTATAACGCACACACACACGCACACACATGCACACGCACACACACAAACACACGCACGCACACACAGATATAAATAGATACAAATGGCACGCAAACATAATGAATGAGAAAAAAATAATGGA